TATTGAACCAACTTTAACACTTGAATGGACGAATAAAGATGGAAGTATGGAGCGAACATTCACCTCCTTCTAAGGACATACCTAACAGTGGAAGGAGATGGACTTTACTAGGGTTTCCTTCAACGAAAAACTCCTTTGTGTTGCTATCTTTACTCTAAGTGCATATAAGACTTTTTTTAATGTGCCAAAATGATGTTAATAATGTGGCATTCGATTACTCAACATAACAACTTAAAAAAAATTAAAAAAATGCTAACTCATCATCCACGTCAGCGTCCGTTAAATGAAATTGACGACATGAATGAAAAATAGGGACAAAAAACTTTATTGGGACGATTCTTTGAACAAAAATGTTTCAGAGCCTAAAACCGGATTTTGATATATTTACAGGGATTAAAAACATATTTAACCCTTACTAAAATAACAATAAATTTTAATAAAAATAAAAAAAGAAAAGAAATAATTGATAAAAATTAAAGAGGATAAAGAAGAAAAATTAAAAGGAGTTGTAAACAAATAAAATATAATAAATAGAGAATTGATTCTACTAAATTCAAAAGCTAGAAATTGTAGTTTCTAAGAGAATTGTTTTTGGAAGAGGAGAATTTAATATGTCACCCCCAAAATTATACATGACATCCCCCAATTTTTTTATTCCACTTTTATCCTTAGATGAGTTGAACACAATTTCCGGACGAAGTTTTTGGTAGAAGGATTGAAATTTCGGGTACCACCTAAATTTTCGGTATATCCCTATAAAATTTGCGGTACCATAAATTTGCGATAGTGTATTTACAATTTTCGGTGTTCCTGGAATTTCAATTAATTTGAAATTTTTGGTAGTATTAAAAATATGGTTTTTTGAATGACTGAGATTATGCCGACATATTTGGATGGTTCTAATTGCACTGACACATTTGTGTGGTCTAGAATGCATCATCATTTATATAAATAAGGGTATTTGTTATAGAGAAAATACAACTCAAAAAACACCTCTTCCTCAATTTCAGATTAAAGCAGAAGTGTATTACAATGACAACAACCCTCATGTTGAATTCAAGCTTCTAGATGTCTCCGAATCCTTTGCCACCTTGAAAGAAACGTTAAATAATTTGTTGTCTGATTCCGATAACATAAGGGTGACAAAGGTAGAGTTTCAGGAGGATTGGATTGATACAAATGGAAGGGTGAAATATAACCTAATCGAGTTGAAGAATGATGAATATGTGAAGGCCATGTGGAAATAATTTCTTCGTAGGATAACTAAAGGACCGATCGAGTTGGATATGCATATCTGAAGATCCGTCGACGATGTAATGAAGTGTCTGAAACGTACAGAATTATCTGGTAGTGCCTAGGTTTTCTTGTTTAGTTGTTTTTGGTTTATGTTTGTTGTACTTTTTTAGGTTTTCACCAAAATATTATGCAACAAATAATAAGTTTGTTTGTCACAAAATATGCACATAATACAACCAAAATAAAATAGATCTACATGGGCCATCCACGGGCTACATCGATTAACCTAGCTAAACCTCTATAGATCTCACCATTTGGATTTATCAAACCCATGAGACTGCCAGCATGAACTGCAATAAATTGGAGGTGGTTGTCCTGATCTCCTGCAGGTGATGGTGGTGGTGGTGGTGGCTTGGTAGATGGGCTAGCACTAGAAGGCCTCAGAACATCAGATGTTGCAGTCGGTGGTATGACCCGAGGGTGTGACACACTGTGAAACTACTCCAGGTATACATCCTCGCACTGCCCAGGCTGCTGAACCTCAACGACTGTATCCATGATCTCACAAGGGGAGGTGAGAATGTGACTCTGAAACCATCTATCAATTCCACCAGTTGGAGACGCTGGAACTGAACGAGGGATGTCTTGTACATAACCATACTGGCATAGACACCTCTCAGGCAAGTGTCTAGCCACATGGATCTCTCATCCAATATACCTTGAATATAAAGTAGATATCTCAGATAGACGATGAGGGCGATGAGATGTATATGGTGTCCAGACAACATCATCCAAGGTCAGAGCGTCAAGCCTCCTCAAGTACTCCATTAAACCTTATGGAATGACTTGCTTGGCATTCCATCTCTTCGCACATGGCTCAGGTATCGTGACACGCTGGATCTTCTGCTCACAGATGTGAGAGAAGTGCGCGTATATCCAACACTGCATAAATAAAAACCAACAAATAAATACACACAAATAATTAATAAAAACCAACAAGTAAATTATAGTTTACCTAGAACAAGCTGAGGTAACCAGCAAGCTGTCTGGTCTCAGGACGAGAAGCAACGCCAAGTGTCATGTACAATATGGTCAATGACGCCACTCCCCAAGCCCAACATAGAGTGTCAAGTGCGCTGAAGAGAAACAAGTATCGAACATCAATATAAACTCCAGACTTGTCTGCAAGCAGCCTCGTACCTATGTGCCTCCACAAGATCTTTATACAAACTCCTTAGCCAAGACATTCGAAGGTGAAATCCCCGAGTCTCACCAAACTCCTTTAGCACCTCCGCCTCAGAACACTCCAAATCCTCCATAGCCATGCACGTGGCTATCGCCTGATCCCTATAAACATGTGTAAAAAATGTATCAGCAATCGGAATGTGAAAGAGGGTGTCTACATCATCTAAAGTCGGCGTCATTTCCCTAAATGAAAGATGGAAGGATGATGTCTCTGAGTGCCACCTCTCAACAAAAGTTGATAAAAGAGAGGCGTCCAACATGGTCAAGGAGAAACCAGCAAACTCTAGGAGATGGTACTCGCTAACGATCCTCTTCACCTCCTCAGACATGAGACTCTCAGGAAAGTTCTTCAACTTCGAATCATGAGAAGCGACCTTCAACACCAGACGCTCGTGTAAGAAGCAAAAACAAATTATTATACATCAAATCTTGTAAGGAAAAATAAAAATTCTGCAATTAAACAAAACAAAAAATATATACCTCGCCTTGCCATATCCTATAAGCGACATGGTCCACAAATCCTGTCAGCATGGACCTGTCTGAAGGTCCTCCAGGGAAACCTCCATCAGTGTGTACTGATGGCTCTGTAGACGCGCGAGTCGTGGCGTCTGTATCAGCGGGGGACACCTCATCAACTCGATCAACAACAATCTCCTGCTCAGGTTCCACACCACAGGCTCCACAATGTGCTCCTCAACTATCGACTCCACAATAGGAGCGGGAGCCTGTACCTCCTCAGTAGGAGCCTGTACCTCCGCAGTAGGAGCCTACACCTCCTCAGTAGGATCCAATACCTCCGCAGTGGATACTCTATGATCCCAACGGTAGGGTGCGCGAAACTGCACATTCTGCTCAGCCATCCGTTTCCGGTGAGAACTGATCGGAGGATGACGTCCAGCCTGTAGCTCTAAAGCTTGTGCTTCGTCAGCACGAGCTTCAACATTAGCTCTATTAGTGTTCTATCCCGCAATAGAACCATCTTTGTCTCTGGTCCTCACTGCAAAATAAGAAAATATCAAGAAATATATAAAATATCGAAAAAAATTTAAATTTCCGATAATTTTTCAAAAAAAATTGAACTACCAGAAATTTCAAAATTTCCGGTATTATGTGACACACCAAATTTTTTAAAATTTCTGGTATAAATGAAAATACCAGATATTTCGAAATTTCCGATATGAAAATACCAGATATTTTGAAATTTCCGGTACAAAGTATCGAAAATTTCACAAATCTACCATAAGTTCTCCCTTGTTCGCAAAATTTCTAGTATCGCCTTCGAAATTTTTGATATCACCCAAAAATTTGAAAAATTCAATTGTCAACGTGAATTTGAAATCTGTGTTGAATAATTTGAGTCTAGACAATTTAGTTTTTTCATACCATTTAGAGGGGGGTGTCATGTGTAATATGAGGGGTGATAAATTAATTTCTCTTGAAAGAGGAAAATTGATTTTGGAAAAATATCCAAACGAAAAAAAATTAATTTTCAAGTTGAAGTGAATTAGAAGTGTGCTTTTGAAATTTGTTGAAGCAATCCAAACAGACACATAGAAGCCATATCTAGTCATTGTCTTAACCATGTTTGTGTGTCTGTTTTTTTTATTATTTTTGTTTAATCTCTAAATGGTATAGACATCTATTGCATTTTTATTATTTCTTTTGTCTTCTTTGGATGAGGCGGTATCTAGTCATATTCAAAGCAAAAATAATATTAAAAAGGTGTAGAAATGGGTAAGTTTGGTGACCAAAAACCTGAAACACTTCATTCATGACATATTGATGTTAACATACAAGTCATTTGATTAAAGTAAACTCAATTATTAACTAGGCTAATGGAGACTCAGAAATGTTTTACTCTTCTTTTATGTAGGCTTAAAAGTTGACAAATTCTTTATAATACTTCGTATTGGACTCTTCCTTTTTCAAATTTTGGCATCCGGTTTTGCGACTGATCCAAGATAATCAATCTCACCGTCTATCTGTGAATGACCGTTTAAAACCAAAGCAAAAACTCTATATAGACGTGACTCAACTCATAAATTATTTGTACATGACGGAATTTGAACCTGATACCTAAACACACTCTTAAAACACAAGTCTTCGGAACGAACCCCGGGGGTTTAATTTGGACTCTTCCTTATCTCATTCACTTTTCAATATCAATTTCTCTGTTCCACGGTCCACCCCCAAACACGTTTTCTGATATGAATGAGACTCTTTCAATTTAAACAATAATACTAACTAAATAAATCACCACTTGCAAGGTTGTGTTAAACAATATTATTTTGATTAAGTCCAAGTTTAGCAATATTCTTCAATATTCTGGGTTTCATGGTCAGAAATTTTACACTGCATGGCAGCCATTTTATGATTATTTTAACATAAGAAAGTGTATGTTACATCCACATTAATTGTTTCATAAATCATATACTATCATGAAATCAATGCCTTTAAGGCACAAGTGTCATCACATATAAACTATAATGATCAGAAAAAGTGACTATAGTAGCAGAAGAATGTTTCATCTATGGTTATTTACCATCAAATTCATATACCTTTTCTATTTTGCTGTAGGCCAAACCAACACCAATTCACAAGAACTACTTGATTATAGATATGATTGTTTGGACCAATCTTCTACTCCTCCCTCTACAACATATCAAACCAACCTCAACAGTTTAATCTCTTCATTGTCATCAGATTCTGCAACAAGTAATGGTTTTGGAAATAAGACTTCAGGTAGTGATCAAAACAATATAGTTTACGGGCAATACCTGTGTCGCGGCGATGTTAATACAAGTCTTTGCCATTCATGTGTCCAAAACTCTAGCAGATTGCTGAAACAACACTGTCCTAATAATGCTTCAGCAATTTTGTGGTACCTTTTTGTCTTTTAAGGTACTCAAATCAGAATTTCTTTAGTAACCTTACTATAAGACCAAGGATTCCTATGTTTGATGCAACACAAAATTTAACTAGTGCCGGTGAATTTGATAGTGATGCAAGGATTTTGATGAATGGTTTGATACAGATGGGGTCACAGACACCTTTGATGTTTGGTACACATATGTTTAACATAAATGGTACTCAAAGAAGGTATGGTTGGGTACAGTGTAGTAGAGATATTACTAGTGAGGAATGTGGAACTTGTTTGAGTAATATGCTCGAGGATGTTGAGAATTGTTGCGAGGAGAAGAAAGTATGGAGAGTTTTTTCTCCAAGTTGTATTATGATGTATGAAACTCAGCCATTCTTTCTAAATGATTCTAATGCTCCTGCGCCTCAACAAGGTATGATTCTATTTCTCTTTCTAAGGCCTAAAATAATCTGGGGCAAACTCCATAACGAATTATCTACGTAAGCCCTAAAATGACAAGTGTTTCCACTCCATTTAACATTGTCCTGTCTTGTTATTGCAGCCAAAGAAAAGGACGGAACAAAGTCATGGATCATAATAGTCATTGTAGTAATCGGAACAGTAGTAGCAGCTCTACTCGCTTTGAGCGCATACTATTTATGCGGCTTAAAGCATAGAAAAAGTAAGCACTAAATCTCAACAGTTCTTAAATCTGAGACTTTCAACAATTAAAGGTGGCTTTTAGCATGGAAAAATGTCTCACATGGCCTATGTGAACCGATGCTTGAAAGTTATTTGAAACTCTAAGAATGATCAATGCTGATTTCCGCAAGTAGAAACTCATGGGATTATCCGTCTTTAGGATAAGAGGGTGATCCAAGCGGTGCAGGTTCAGCAAAAAACAAGGAAAACATCTTGATTTTGTGAATTAGCATCATCTGGTCACTCTCTTTCCTAATGACGTGGAGAACCCCGAACTTTAGTTTAAAGGTCTACGACGAAGTTTCAAGCATCAATTCACCGTAGGTTACATGTGACACTTCCCCATCCTAACAACTCCCTTATTCTTGTATGTATTCTAATAATTCCATCTTTTCAGATAGAAGAAACTATATGCAAAACCTTAGTCCAATCTTTTCTCAAGATCAGTCTGACATCGAGGAAACTGGAAATAGTGACCTATCTATGATGCCTTTGAGTACTATTCTGAAAAGTACGAACAATTTTAGTGATGAATATAAATTAGGGAAATGTGGATTTGGAACTGTTTACAAGGTAATAAACTAGATTAACATACATAACAGTTGATATATTTTATTTGTTAGATTTCTTCCCTTACAACTTTCTTACACAAAATTTGAAAAATGTTTTAGGGTGTTTTAGCTGATGGAAAGGAAATTGCTGTTAAAAGGTTTTCAAAAACATCAGTTCAAAGTGTGGAGGAATTAAAAAACGAAACAATATTGACTGCCAAACTGCAGCATCGGAACCTTGTGAGACTATTGGCTTGCTGCATTGAGCAAAATGAAAAGCTTCTTATCTATGAATACTTGCCTAATTCAAGCCTTGATTTCCACCTATTCGGTATGACTCCCCAACAATGAACATGCTTTCAATTACCTTTCTCGTCATTTTTTTAACTGTTTGAATATGTCCCGTATATATATTTTCATCAGATATGGTGAAGGGTGCACAACTAGATTGGAAACAACGATTAAGTATTATTAATGGGATTGCAAAAGGGCTTCTATATCTTCATGGAGACTCTAGGCTCAAAGTTATTCATAGAGACTTGAAGGCTAGCAATATACTGTTAGATCATGAAATGAATCCGAAAATCTCAAACTTTGGACTAGCAAGAATATTTGGAGGAGACCAGGATGAAGCAAGTACAATTAGAATCGTAGGAACTTAGTAAGTATAAACTAGTTTGCTTTCTTTTATTAGTTCGATAATGTATACTTCCTCACATGAAGTATAGCATCAAATTTTAATAGCATATTTCACATGGACTAATAAGAAAGGCAAGTTTTATCGAATGAAGTCATACAGTTAAAATATTACATCTTAACGAAAAACTATTTTCTCTTGCTAAAAGATGTTATGTTTTATCGGAAGGAAAGAAAAAAAAAGCGAAGGGTAATTTCAATTCTAGTCAGTTGAATTTTACTGATACATTGATTTTGAGCAGTGGATACATGGCTCCAGAATATGCTATGGAAGGATTATTTTTGGTGAAGTCAGATGTTTTCAGCTTTGGTGTTCTTTTGCTAGAGATCATCAGTGGAAGAAAAAGCAGCAAATTCTATCTTTCAGAGGATGGACTGAGCCTTCTCGTATATGTAAGTTCATAATATATGCTTGCATTCACTTTTTTTCTAAAGAAAAAAATAGTTGCAACTTAAATCTAATGCATGTATAATTATAGGCATGGAACCTTTGGCATGAAAGAAAAGAAATAGAGTTGATGGATCCATTGATAGAAAAGACATGCGTACCTGGTGAATATCTGAAGTGTATACATATTGCACTATTGTGTGTACAAGAAGATGCAGCAGATAGACCTACAATGTCAAGTGTTGTTCACATGCTTGTAAGTGACACACTGACTCTCCCCGATCCTACACGCCCTGCATTTTCTGTTGGAAGAGCTGTCGTCGAACGGGCTGTTGTTGACCGAGAGTCTTCATCAAATACTTCTATCTCTGCCAATGAAGTAACCTTGTCTGAATTGAGTCCTAGATGAACAATGAAATTGTAGATATGTACTGACATGATTGTGACTAGTCTCAACTTGAGTGGATGTTCTGAACAAAGGATTATATTGCTAGTTGGTACTCTATGTGTTGGTTTGCATTCCTTAGTTATCATTTTAATTTATAGGAGGTTCACAACCATAGATAAGCAATAGCTCAGCTGCCAACATTTAAAAAAAGACTTGTGTGCATTTTGAGTCACATATAGGACCATTTTGATTTAGTATCTAGCAGTCAGCTTTATCGTTGATCATACGATTTATTTGTTAATGCAAATTCAAGAGCCGTATCAATAAAGTGAGTCTCTATAAGGGTCATTTGACATATTTTTGTTTCTTACATGACCTTATGTGACCTGCAGGAATCTGCGTGGTTGTTATATTCCTTCAGAGTTCAGATACAATACAAGTATGTCCATACCGGTAAACTTCTAATAGAAGATATTAAGTGATCCATTATATCAAGGGCTATATATAGACATTGGTCCCTTTGTTGGAAATTATTCATGTAGCTCTAGAAGCAACGATACAGTACAGTTGCGAAAGTTTGGTAATAAGTTGTTATTAATGGTCCCTTTGTTTTGTTATTGTCATCTGCATTGCATATATATTGCAGCTGTATTAAAAGAAAACTTGTTAGAATTTTGTAAGCTACCTTCAAGTTTCTTAGAACATATAATTACAATTATTTATCGTCAAACTATGATCTATTCCCTTAGCTAGCTATACCCTTAGCTCGCTAACTAATGACTATTATTATTATTTGGTGACAATATAATACAATTTTTGTCTTACTCCTTTATTTCTTAGAAAAAGGGCTCCAGGTAATTTGGAGATTGGAGAGTTGGAAGGTAGGTAAAGTTTGTAGGTTAAGCTATACTTGTTCTTTTGTTATAAGCTAAAATGATTTTAAAATGATTTTGATCAGAACAACCCTAACACTAGAACCTGATACATCAGTTTTAAACATGAAAACCTGTGAAAAAGCCAATATTGGGGCCTATGTAATTGCATTTTGTAACCCGTAGAAGGAAACTGGCCTCATCATTCCAAACAAATTATCCTTCTTCTACAATATGGTGAGGGGAAAATAACTGTTTAAGGTTGGAAGAGATGCAACATGCCGACATTGTCATAACCCCATAAATAAAAGCTATCACACCGTGTTACTTCTAAAAATGGTTTATTCTACTAAGAACAATGAGGAACAAACAAACCTTCACAAATGCCAAAAGAATCCTCCTCAATACTAACAACTGCCATTCTGTTTTTAGTGAGATGCAAAATGGTACAACTGAACAATTCTGTTTTTAGTGAGATGCAAAATAGTACAACTGAACAATTTGGACATGATGACCATTTCCTCCGAAATTCAAAAACATTTGAGATGCAAACTTACTGTTTTAAAATCTGGACCAGTCAATCCAGTCGGTTCAATCGCAATTCAGTAATCAAGGCGGTTTGGTCCTCTTATCAGACCAAATATGCACTTAATCTATTATGGCATCATCAAACTGGTACTGAACCGATTAAAATTAGACAAATCACGCAAATCAATGTTTTAAAATCTAGACCGGACCAGTCAATTTAATGGATTTAACGATAAACCAGTAATCAAGGAGGCTCGTCTTGGATCAAGCGACTACTATTGTGTTAAAAGCAATTATTGTTAGTGAGGGGACAATTATATTTTTTTATAGTGTAGAGCTCTCAAGGGACTATACCTAGCACATCCTAGGCGCCATGGATTGAGATGTTAATCCATGAGTTTGAACCCATAATCTTGCTCTGATACCAAAATAACTTATCGATTAAAACTGGAGAAAGTAATTCTATTGTATGCAAAAAGAACTAGCAATAACCAGAATCTAACACAAGTTCTTTAAATATGACAAATCGACTTTTGTCACTCAACTAATTGAAATTTTATGGCAAAGTCTCAAAAGATATTATAGTTATTATAACACTATATATTCTTATGTAATTTATTTTAAATATTAAATTATTTCACATCTTTTAATAAGAATAGAGTTAATAGTCATGCAATTCGACCAATAACTTATTGATTCGATCAATAATCTATTAATTCGTATCATGACCAAATATAATTTGTGTGAGTTTTAAAAGATTGACTCAAACTAAAGTATTCAAACCATACTTATCAAATCGAGACTCAAATCTTAAATCAACAAACATTTTATCAATCATACATGTTCAATAAAAATATGACATTTTAAAGTAAAAATAAGTGACATTTAGGGTGTTAATTTAGGAAAAAACTTAGGCACACTAAAACATAACATTTGATTTTACAAACAACCGATCATATTTTTTTAATTAATTAAAAAATAAAAATATAATATTTTCTCTTCTTCATAATCAAACCACTCTCATGATATCAATTTAAAAAGAAATTAAATTTTAAATAAATTAAATATTTTTTTATTTTTATTAATTTTTTTGTAACAATAAAGATTTATATTCATATGTATGCAAGTTTTTCTCATTAATGTATATCAAATCATATTTGTTAGAGAACAAAAGAGAAAATAGTTAATAACAGCCAATAACAATGCCTTAACGGAATAACGGTGTGGCAGCCATGGGAAAAGGTTTAGGAATGCAGAATATTATAGTCACCGTTATAGGATATCAAGAATGCCATGCTCTAATTGACGCTTGGCCATCCAATCATTTGAAAGCGAGGATATCCAAGAGTTTCCTGAGAGGCTTCCCGAACCAATTTTTATTTCAGTAATTAATTTTATCCTATGTTCTCAACACCCATCTAGTCTCCTCCTTCAAATGTCTATAATGACGCTGAATTTCAAGCCAAATGTCATGTAAGCTTAACTGTCAAGGCTTCATTAAGAACATCTTCAATATTACTAATCTTCGAGTTCTGTACATGTTATTAAGCCACATAATCTTGAAATAATTTATTCTATTTTCACTTTAATGATACAATTTTAAAGAATTAATATTAGGTCTCATAATTTTACTTTATATATTAATATTTTGTTCATATTAAATAAAATTAAATTTAAAATAATATTTTGAATTATATAAATAAATTAATATAAAATAAATAAAATTCAAATTAAACTTAAAATTTTAAATAATAATTAAAATTAATATCAAATATATGACATATAATTCAAAACAATAAAAATAAATAATATATAATTAATCAAATTTAAATTTCGTCATCTTCATGTCCAAAATATTCTCAAATATGCTCGACTAGATCTCCTTGAAGTTGACGATGAACTTGTTTTTCATGAAGGCTTGCTCTTCTTTGTAGTCTTGTTGTAAGATTCGAATGAGGATCGTTAAATGTTTCGATTGTTGAGTTGTTATTATCTATATTATCGTAAGAGTAATCAAAATCACCTCCATATGTGTTTCATTCGTCTTCAACAATCATATTGTGCAATATGATGCAAACATATATGGTATGCTTGAGATTCCGTGTGTCATGCACGCGCTGGACCACGTACAATTGCAAATCGAGATTGAAGCACTCCAAATGCTCAGTCCACATCTTTTCTAGCTGATTCTTGATGTTGTGCAAATAGTTTTCTCTTTTCTCCCCGCGACATTGAAATGGTCTTGACAAATGTAGCCCACTCAGGATATATACCATCTGCTAAATAATATCCCATATTATACGATGTTCCATTTATGGTATATTGCACAACATGAGCGCGCCCTTCCAAAATATCGTTAAACACGTTGGATTGGTTTAACACATTAATGTCGTTGTTTGAACCTGCAAAACCAAAAAATGCATGTCATATCCATAAGTCTTGTGATGCCACAACTTCAAGCATGATTGTGGGCTTTCCATGATCACCTCGACAAAATTGTCCTTTCCATGCAACATGACAATTTTTCCATTTCCAGTACATACAATCAATGGAATCCAACATACCTGGAAAACCACTTGATTCTCCCATTTGTAAAAGATGTTCAACATCAATGTTGTTTGGCCTTCTCAGACATTCGGCCCCGAATACATCATTCACGCCCCTAACAAATCTTTCTAAGCACTCAACTGAAGTGCTTTGACCGATTCGAACATATTCGTCTACAATGTCAGCGGGAGACCCATATGCCAACATATAAATAACAGATGTGCATTTCTGCAATGGTGAAAGACCTATTTTACCAGTTGCATCGGCCTTCCTTTGAAAATATACATCATGATTTCCAAGGGCATCTACAATTTAAATAAAGACATACCTGTGCATTCTAAACCTCTTTCAAAATTGAACATCTGTGTATATTGGATTTTCTGAGAAGTAGTCATTGAATAATCGAGTGTTCCTTTCTTCACGACTTCGATCAATCACTTTTCTTCTTTTTTGCCTAGAGGAAATTCCAGATTGACGTTCCTTCTCTAGCATTGACATTAGTAGTTCTTCATCAGTATTGTCCATAAATTCTTCTTCAATCAAGTCTCAAAAGAGATCATCTTATTAGTGTTGACAATATATATTACAATTACAATTCTTACTGCATTTCTATATGATTCAATGAATTTCAAATAACCTAAATTGAATGTCCTTGTATTTTTTTATTGCCACTGTTACAATTTCCCCATATTTTCTTCTTTTGATTCTTGTTTATTCACAGGATTCAATTCAACCCTGCGACAAGGAAACATTACTCATCATGAATATATTCAGGCGAGGCTTGTTACTTAAAGATGTATCTTCTACAGATCCAACTCTAATGATAAATTTTACAGGTTGGTAAAGGAAGATATGTTGGCCTCAATCAAATTGCCCTATTTGAGGGGAAGGTTTCAAGTGGTAATGGTGAACAAGTTCTCAGTTAGGATATATACAGACTTGGGCAACTTTTTGATTTCTCTCAGATGAAGTCTTTTTTACTTCACAACAGTTGGATACTACTTTTGTACCATGGTATGTCATTCATGCATCACCTTTTTAATTTTTTTATCGATAAATGCACAAGGATCAAAT